AATGCCTTATAGGGGGTTGCAACTATTCATTGAGATATTGTTTATGAAAGTGATTAGAAAAATAAAAAATAATGCTAATTTTCTTTAGTGACATTGGGCCAGGATGTGTTCTGCAACTGTGTCTAAATGCACCATAAGAGGGTACATAAAGAAAACAAGCCCCACTCTGCATGAGAAAAGCAGCCCCACTCTATTCTACTTTTTTTTTCCTTACCAGTCTGGGTTAATCTTATGTACCAATTTATCTTCCTTTAAAAAATTTTTTTTATTGATTTTAGAGAGAGGAAGGGAGAGGGAAAGAAAGATGGAAACATCGAGGAGAGAGAACATCAATTGGCTGCCTCCTGCATGCCCCCCCTCCCACTAGGAATCAGTCCCACAACTGAGGCATGTGGCCTGACCAAGAATCCTCTTGGTACATGGGCAGATGCTGAACCACTGAGCCACACTATCTTCCTTAATCCACCTGGTCCCATTAAGAGACCATTCCTGTTAGTGTCCTCACCCCAGTTTATGGGAGAGAAATCCTGTCCAGATTTTTCGTGATGGCCACAGAAGTCAAATCCTTACTATTTTTGACTTACTCTAAATATTCATATCTAGTCAGTGCTCAAATTTTATTCACCAAATGTGGATGTCTTAGGCTGATTTTGCAAGAGTTTTTGGCTTTGGGGCCCACTTTTGGAAAATCTATCACTTTTCTTCTCTGAGGTCTAGGGAAAAAAGCAATCAAGTAAGCAGTGTAGTAAATGGAATGGTGTCTCCCCAAAAGATATGTTCAAATCCAAACCCCCAGTACCTATGAGTGTGAACTTATTTTAAAATATAATCTTTGCTGATGCAATTAAATTAAGGAGATTAGCATGAGATTACTCTGGATTTAGAGTGGGCTCTAAACCCAATGACCAAGTACTTATAAGGGAAAGGAGAGGGAGATTTGACAACACGGAGATCCAGAATAGAATGCCATAGGAAGATGGAGTCAGAGATTGCAGTGATGCTCTGCCAGCCAAGGAATGCCAAGTATTCTCCCAGAAGCTAGGAGAGAAGCCAGGCAACAGATTCTCTTATTACTTGAAAGTTATTGCTTAGACCAGGCATGTGAGATCTGTGTAGAGGCGGAGGAAGCCCTTCCTGCAGCCTTGGCGGTTGGCGGGGACCAACCACAGCCAGTTTCTGTCCCTGGAGGCGGCTGGGCCCGGGCCTCCTCTCCTGGGCCCCTGACTCCCAGTTGACTTTGAAGCTGCCCTTTTCCCAATTCAGCATTAAATCAGGAGTGCCTTTTGTTTTTATCCCAAACAGCTGGTTGGCCCTGAAGTTTTGCCCGTTATTGTGGGAAAGCCCCGCAGCTCTCTCTTGATCCCTTATGGCCTTGAACAGACCTAAAACTCCTCTCTTTGTCCTCTGTTTCTCTTTTACCTTCCTTTTCTCCTTCCTTTCCTCTTTCTTCATCTTCTTTAATTTTTTGAAACTCAAGCACAGTTGCGCAGTTCACTTCTCAGTCCCTCCTGGAATAAGGCTGGGCCGGCCGTGCAGGTGTGCAGCAACCAGAGGCAACCCTTGCGCGTGGGGACCCCTACGGTTGGAGGGCCTGGGAGATGCTAGCTCCACTGCGGGAGGCCCTGGGGACCTTAAACTAGGAAGTGCTCTTGCTGCAGCTCACACCAACTGGCATCGGGAGTGTGTGTGTGTTGGAGAGGAATTGTGGCAAGACATCAGTTACTACAGTGGGGAGGGGATGGAGAAGGAGGAGGGTTAGCAGAGAAAATTTGGAGGGAGATAGCTGAGTGTTAGAGCTAGAGAGGTTCAGGAAAATGGTGGCGACAGATACCCAGAGAGTGGGAAGGCAGGGCTAAGGCACTGAGTCCCAGTCATAGGGGATGCATGGAAAAATAAACTTAGCATATGAGAGGCATTTTGTTATTTTGCTCTAAAACAAAACAAAAAATAGAAGTGACTTAAATGAAAATGGCAGAGTAGGAAGCTGCAAGGACCCATTTCTACACAGAAATACAAAAAAAAAATGTCATAATTGACATTATGGGAACTCTGGAAGATAGTCAAAGGTTTACTGTAACCAAGTGAAAATTCAACCAAGAAAAATGTGGCTTAAACAAAACACAATGGGCACATTACTAGTCAACTTAAGAAAATAAAAAGGGTTACAAGAGAAAACTATTAACAACTAGGTGAAATGGACAAATTCCTAGAAATACACAAACTATTAAAAATGACTCAAGGTGGGTGGGAAATAGTCTGAAAACTTATAAGATGTATTCATAGATCCAAATCCTCTATGAATATAGATGAAAAATATCCTCAACAAAGTATTTGCAAATGCAATCCAGCTGAATGTTAAAAGTATTACACACCATGACCAAGTAAGTTTTATCCCAGGAGTGCCAGGGGCTCAACGTATGAAAATCAATCAATGTAATACATCATATTAATAACATTAAGAAAAAAAACATGGTTATCTCAGTTGATACAGTAAAATAATGTCACAAAATCCAAACTTCATAAAATAAATATTCAACAAACTAGTAACAAAATAGAACTTTCTCAATTTGTTTAAGGGCATTTATGGAAAAGAAAAAAAAACAAACCCTATAGCTAACATCATAGTCAATGGTGAAAGACTGAAAGATTTCTCACTAAAATCAGAAACAAGACAAGGATGTTTGCTTTTGCTTTAATTCAAGATTCTATAAGCAACATTGTCCTGAAAATTCTAACCAGAACAGCTAGGCAAGAAAAATAAAGTAAGAAGAATTCAAATAAGAAAGGAACAAGTAAAACTATCCATCTCCCTTTGCAGAAGACATTTTTTTCTGTATAGAAAATCCTAAAGTAATACACACATGGACGCAACTCTAGTAGGGCTAAGAAACAAATTCAGCAAAGCTGCAGGATAAAGGATCAACACACAAAAATAAGTTGTGTTTCTATACACTAGCAATGAGCAATCTAAAAAAGGAAGTTAAAACAATTAACTGTGTGTGTGTGTGTGACAGAGAGGGAAATCTGAATTTGTTCCACTTATCTATGTATTCACTGGTTGATTCTTGTATGTGCCCTTGAGGTATGGGGACAGCACTCTAACCAAGCTATCTGGCCAGGGCCTCAGTTCAATTATCAATAGCATCAAAAAGAAGAAAATATTTAGGAATTAATTCAACCAAGTAGTCGTGCTACTTGTACACTTAAAACTACAAAACATTGCTGGAATTAAAGGAGACCTAAATTAATAGAATGACATTCTGTGTTCATGGTTTGGAAGTTGATATTTTCAAGATGGCAATAGGGCCCAAAGTGATGTACATATCCAATGCAATCCCTATGAAAAACCCAATGGCATTTTGTGTGTGTGTGGAAATGGAAAAAGCTGATTCTAAAACTTATATGGAATTGCAAGGGACCTCAGGGACAAATTTGAAACAGATCAAATTAATTTTGAAAAAGAAAAATAAAGTTGGAATATTCACATTTCCCAATTTCAAAATATACTACAACACTACAGCAATCAAGACTGTGAACTTGACATACAGACATATATTCTGGACATTTTTATAAGTGGAATCATGTACAGAATAGTAGAGACAATAGGCGATTAATGGTTTCCAAAGCCTGGGAAAATGGAGGATTTAATGAGTGCTTAATGAGTATGAGGTCCTTTGGAGGTAATGAATATGTTAAGGAACGAGATAAACGGTGATGGTTTCACAACACTGTGAGTGTTCTAAATGCCACCAAATTGTAAAATTATTATTTTTATGTTATGTGAATTGCACCTTAATAAAAAAATAAATAACTGGAGGCATGCCACTAGACATGGGAGGAAGCAGTGTGGCCGCCTGGCCCAGTTGAAGTTGGAGTCAGTCCCTGCAGCATCCCTGCTCTGGCAGAGAAGCCCCAACTCCTTTTGGTTTGGGTGGCCAGCAGCAACTTCACAGCCCACTGGAGTTGCTGCTGCCTGGTCCAGTGTGCTGGGCCAGGCATGGGGTGCCAACTCATGAAATCCCTTAGCAGGATGCAGAGCCAGACTCCATGTTCACAAGCCACCTGCTGCCTGTAACATGTTGGACAAAATAACCCCACTTTGCGGAGTGGGCACCAATCCTGGATCTGAAAACTTCCTTCATATTGATTAAAGGTTTCACTCATCACTTTTTACCCCATTTCATCAATCTTAAGAATCGACTTTTTACATTTCATTATCTGAGGAGATCCAGATGAGTTTTACAATCCCCAGTGTGTACTCTTACACTGCACCTTTCTTCTTTTTATTTTTTGTCTTTATTGATTTTAGAGAGAGAGGGAGAGACACAGAGATGGAAACATGGATGAGAGAGAACATCAATTGGGTGCCTCCTGCATGCCCCCCACTGGGGATCAGGCCCACAATCTGGGCATGTGCCCTGACCCAGAATCAAACCAGCGACCTCTTGGTGCATGGGTCAACGCTGGATCACCGAGCCACACCGGCGGGGCTGCACCTTTCATTTTAAAAAATGTATGAAGCAATGGCGAATCTCAGAAACAACGCTGTCTTTGATTCAATGAAAGTGCATTAAAATTTCTAGTCATGTGTTTGTATTTAATATTTGATGTCTGTCTTCCCCTCCACAAAAACAAAACAAAACAAACAAAAAACACTATACCCCTGGCAAAGTACCTTAATAGATGCTCAATAATTGTTGACCGAATAAATGAGCGAAGGAAAGAACACTATTTTTTTTTTTTTAATTGAGCCCTGGCCCTAACATTTGCTGGCAGTTGGACACTCAAGAAAGGCCATGAACCCCATTAAGTTTTGTTTCCCTAGTTCACAAAGTGGCTGTAATAACAGAGCCAGGCAGGTTCGAGGCTCTCAAGACAACGCACCAGCAGAGACGTGCCCTCATGGCCTGCATACACGCTCCTGAAAACTCCAACCCAATGAAAAGGCAGGGACAGCGTTGGTTTTTTTTTTTTTTTAAATCTTTTATAATAGCGTAGAAAATCAGGTATAAATGGAAATGTAGGGGGAAGGGGAAAGGATTTGCTGGCGAAGAAGCTGTAAAAGCGCTACTTGATAAATTGCATCTAATAAAGCAGGGAAGAACTGGGAGGGACGCGGGTAGCAGTCAAGATGCAGATATGCTTCTTGCTTTCGTTCACGCTCGGTTGCCTGCAGAGAGCAGAAAGAAAAAAAAAAAGAAAAGGACATTAGAAATCAGAAATCAAAGTTGTGAGACCCATTTCTTCTTTTTTTTGCACTCCCGCACCAGCTATTCAGAAATTTATGGACAAGGATGGCTTCGCCTGCAGATACACTTCCTCTCGATATCAACCGAATGTCGCCCTGGCCGGTTTGGCTCAGCGGTTAGAGCGTAGGCCAGAGCGTAGGCCCCAGAGCGTTGGACTGCGGTCCAGAGAGACCCGGGTTCGGTTCGGCTAAGGGCGAGTGCCTCGGTTGCAGTTTGTCCCTGGCCCTGGTTGGTCGTGCGGGTGGCAGCCACTCAATGTGTCCCTTTCATTGGATGTTTCTCTCTCTCTCTTCCTCTCTCCCTCCCACTCTATCTGAACAAAAAGTGGAGAAATGTCCTCGGCACCGGGTCTGCCCATGGATTCGGGAGTGGGGGCACACACTCCTCCCCACACTCCGCGGCTCTGGGCTCGCCGCTCTTCCGCGCTCTGGGTCCTCCAGGGCGAGGGCAAGGAGAGCACGGGTGGGCCCGTGGCGATTGCGAGAGGAAAATCGGTAAAATCGGTATATAACGGGTGGCTTTTGCTTCCCACACACACCACCAGGAGCAGAAACATAAGGACGCTATTTCGCCCCAAACGTCTCTCGCACCTGATGCTGGCGAGCGGCTCAGCGGACTCACATATTAGAGGACACCCGGTAGGCGCTGCTTCGCAGTCTGGGAGTCTTGGGTTCCAGTCCTACTGTATTCCTCTACAGGTCCCCCTCCCAAACCAGCTAAAATAAAACGTTTCTACAATAAAATTAACATTTTGACCAATCATCTTTTATCTGACCTAACAGACCCCTGCAATGATCTGGCCTTTGCTCTCCCTCTGATCTCATCGTGTACCCGATTCCGCCTGTCTTTCTATCCTCTGACCCGCCATTCATTTCCGCAGCAGTCTTTGCACTTGAGAGGTTTTCGGTCTCCAGGGCTGTTTTCTTCTCATCAGTAAGGGTTTTGGACCACTCTTAGATAGCCTCCCCTCCTATTCACACTTCACTCTTAAGCATCACTTGGTTTTACAAACTCACTCTTAAAATACACTGTTACAGTGTTTAAAGTCTATTTCCCAGAATGTAAGCTCTATGAGGGCAGGAATCCTGTTTTGTCTTGTTCAGTTTTGTGTCCTACCTAGAATGGGGATCAGTTAAAGAAAGGGAAGGGAGAAGGGAGAGGAGGGGAGAAGAAGGAGGAAGGGAGGAAGGAGGAAGGGAGGAAGGAGGAAGAGAGGGAGGAGGAAGGGAGGGAGGAGGAAGGGAGGGAGGGAAGGAGGGAATAAGAGAGGAAGAGAGGAAGGAAGGAAGGAAGGAAGGAAGGAAGGAAGGAAGGAAGGAAGGAAGGAGACTCTCCTGTTTGGCTTACAAATCTTAGGTTTGGTTATAAAGGGTTATTCAATTTTCATTTGCCTGGGCCCAATTACATAATCTAATTCTCTTCCGTGGCTGGAAGTTCTTGCTTCCGTGATTGGCCCCTGGTCCTATGCTGCATCTAGGACGCACGCTTCAGTTGGAGGACCGAGAGGGTGGGCAGGTTAAAGGAAACCTTTCTCCCCTTGGTGTCCGAGGCGCTGCACTCTAAGTGAGACTCTACACTCTGTCGCTGGTTCCCCTAAGGCCCAGGGAGCCTACTGCCCCAGTTCTCAGCCCATAGGATAGCTTTCAGTATTTTCAAGGTCAATGTTTACCATAAATATTCGTGCCAATTTCGTATATTGCTTCATATATGTATTTTGATAAAATGGTGTCCCCTTCAGAAAAAAAAAAATTGAAGTTGGCACTTTAGACAGGCAGGAGTGGAGGTAGGGAAATGGGCCTGCGGGAAAAGGCTTTATGGTGGTAGAACGACAGAGAACCACACATCCATCTCCCTCTCTCAGCGATCTCTCTCGCACAAACAGAAAGGGTCTCTTTCCCAGAGCGTATAGCAAACCTCGCTATACGACTTTGTTGGGACTTTGAGGGTTGGAGAAGTCTCTATCCCAGATGCCTCCAGAGCCCCCTGGGGGGGGGGGCCTGGAAAACCCCACGCTTAGAGTAGAGGGGCAGATTTAGTAGAATTTTTCAACGGAGCCGGGAATGGCTGACCTCTGCCAGATCCTGCTTTGCGCAACTGGTTTTGGAAATCGCAACGTTGGTCCTGAAACCTGGGTAACCTAATGGGGAAACTGAGGGCCACTGAATAGATGTAGCCACTAGACCTCTAGCCTTGAGTCGATGCTCCAGGTCTAAGCCATGACCTGCAGGAAGAATGAGTATTTGGAGAGGTGGAGGGAGTTCTTATGGAATGGGTTTTGACGTGCGGAAGTCCATCAGAGGCTGTTTCCTACCCGTAGCTCTGGCGAGGCAGCAGATACGGGACACTGGTGTTGTCTCATCTGCTGGCAATAAGTGAGCTGAGATGAGACCCAAGTCTCTGCTCTCCCTGAGCCAACTTTCTCTTCTGACAAAGGAGTGCGCTGGACTGAGGGAGCTCTCTGAGTTCACATTCTTAGATCGGCCATCTCACCTGCGAGGCTTTGTGTGGCACCGGCAGTGGAGTGGCTACCGCCTTCCGTGCTCCCTTCGGCCGCATGCAAGTACTGGGTGATTTCGCGGTGGCCCCGCTCCTCAGCCAGGTCCACGGGCAGGCGACCCCAGGCATCTCGCACGTCCAGTCGCGCCCCGCCTCGGTGCAGCACCACCAGCGTCTCCAGGTAACCCTCCCGGGCCGCGTCGTGCACCGGTCGGGTGAGAGTGTCTGGATCCGCGCAGTTGGGGTCCGCGCCGTGGAGCAGCAGCAGCTTGGCTACCCCGGCGTTGCCCATCATCATGACCTGCAGGAGCGAGCAAAATGGTTAGGGCAGGTCAAGTGGCAGAGACAGGGTTAATTTAAAATTACTTGTGAAGCCTCTACCCTCTGCAAACACCCATACAAGCCAGAGGCGTCTAGTTACTCTTTATTTGCTTTCAGTTACCAATTCTCTTAGCCAGTTCTCCTACCCATTCCATCTTTCTGCACAGACTGAATTCTCATTATATTCTCCATGCTTTTGCAGAATTCCAGCCACACACAGAACACTGCTGGAGGCACAGACAACAGCAAAAGTGACAAACTTGCTAAACCTCCTGTATTTCCCCATTTTGATATGATTATGTAAGACCGAGAGTTTTTTGTATGGTTCATTGCTGTATATACAAGCCCTTGTTAAAAAGTGAAAAATAAAATAAAATTTAAAAACCCAGAAAACAAACCTTAATTCTTACAAAATTTTAAAGCTACCGTTAGTTTCCTGGAATATTGAACTTAAAATTCTTTTTTTTCTCTTAAATTCATAAATAATCCCCACCTGAAGGTATGTTTATTGATTTTAGAGAGCGGAAGGGAGAGGAAGGGGAGTGGAGATCAATGTGAATTGGTTGCTTCCCATACACATTCTGGGATTGAACAGCACCCTAGCTATGTGTCCTGATCAAGAATTGAACCCAAAACCTTTTAGTATACCTGATAATGCTCCAACCAACTGAGCCACTGGGCTATGGCAAACTTCAAATTCTTTAAGTATAAAATGAGGTTTGTCTAAGCACTTCCCAAAAATTTTCCTGTGGTAAGCTAAATAATGTCCTTCAAAGATGTCTACTTCTTAACATTCAAAAGCTGTGAGTATATTACCTTACATGGCAAAAGGAACGTTGCCCTTTGCCAGGCTTGATTAAGGATTTGCGGGAGGGGTGGGGGTGGGGGTGGGGGTGGGGTGATTAACTTGAATTGTCTGGGTGGGCCCACTGTAACCATGTTTCCTTATAAGAGAGTCACAGTTGAGAAAGGGTATATACCAATGAAAGCACAAGTCAGAGAGAAGATGCAGGGGCCATGAGCCCAGAATGTTGATGGTCACTAGAAGTTGGAAAAGGAAAAGAAATGGATTCTCCCTTAGAACCTTCAAAGGAGTGCAGCCTCCTAGATCCATTTTAGACTTCTGACATCCAGAACTGTAATATAATAAATTTACGTTGATTTAAACCATTTAAGTCTGTGGTAATTTGTTACAGCATAAATAGTAAACTAAGACACTTCCCCAATTTACACTCTGAAAGTTCATTAAACAGGAGGCTCTGACTTCATTTGGGGTTTAGGTCATCTTTGCAACAAAGGCAACACCAAAGTGTCCATAATCAGAGCAACCTTACAATTTGAGTGTTGCATGGTGGGTGGTGGTGGTAGACAACTTTTTTTTTAGGAAAACCATTATTTGGTTATATTAGCTGGATGATAGTGACTGTATAAAAATAAGTTATTTATTTCAGTTACATTCTATATTAAACACAAATTACTTAATTTGTCCAAACCAAGGAACCATAATGAGTTTTGTATTGGAGAAAAGTGAAACTGATTTAATTCTCAAAAAGACAGAGAGTAAATATAAGTGAATCAAATTACAGCTCCAAAAAAGAAAGAAAAACTATTGCAATGCAATAGAGCAAATGCACTGTTTTAAAATAAAAACTGGGAGAGCTTTCACACTATTACTGTTTATCCAGTGACATCCTTCATCATTTAACTGGTTTTATATGTTTTTATTATATTTTATTATATTAGTATTAAAGGCTGAACAGTAGCCTAACATTTAAATATTTTAATCATAATAGCAATCCAATGAAAAAATAAATAAATCTTTCACAGGAATATTTGTAGGGTGCTTAAATCCATTTGAAAAGACATTACATTTAATTTAGCAGTTTAAAATGTTCTAGCAACTAAGTATTTCTATATTAAACTTAAATTTGATTAGGGTTCTAAATCAAAATCATGCTTCTTTTTCCCCTATGTTCTCATCCACCCTATTAAAAAAGTTAAAATTAATTATCTTTTTTTTTTCTTTTTGTATTTAAACAAACTAAGTCTTCTAACATATTCTAGAGGTCCAAGGACAAACTCCCAGTTTCCAAGCAGCTGGTGATATTTTGGAGATATCAAATTATGAATCAGGCAAGCATTATTTTTAAAGGACTCATGCTTGTTTTCTACAAACACTCAACCTCTTTATTTTTTTTTATTTTTTATTTTTTATCCTCACCCGAGGATATTTTTCCATTTTTTTGTACAGATAGAGTGGGAGGGAGAGAGAAGAAGGGAGAGAGAGAGAGAAACATTGACGTGAAGGGACACATCGAGTGGCTGCCACCCGCACAACCAACCAAGGCCGGGGACAAACTGCAACCGAAGTACGTGCCCTTAATGGGAACTGAACCCGGGTCTCTCCGGACCGCAGGCCGATGCTCTAACCGCTGAGCCAAACTGGCCAGGGAGCACTCAACCTCTTTAAATTCAAATTCTCTCCACACTTCAAGTCACAGATAAATTTCAAGTTTTAGGCATTTTCATTTTATTTTAATATCTGTATTGCAAAGTGTATAAAATCTATCCTCTTAGCTTAGTTTTAGGAAAGGAAGATTTACTTGTGAAGTTTGTGAAGTTCCAAGTAGAGTTACTTTCCTTTGTCTTATTCTGGAGGTTTTGCAATATGCGTTTGTTTTATATAAATTTTATTTTTCAGAATCAGAAATCATTGTTGACACTGGGAATAAAATTAGGATGGTGACTGCCAGGAAGAATTCATCTTTAGCCTGAGATTTAGAAAGTCAGTGAAGGCAAACAACAAAAACCTGTGTCCTCCCCCCAACACACACACACACACCAAAAAAACTGGAAGGGAAAGAGCAGAAATGATGGTTCTCAACAAGGAGGAACTGAAAATTCGACTTCAAGTACGTTAATATATAGCAAGTTAGTTAACAACAGCAACAATAATAGGAGACATCAATCACTAAAATGATAACTAAATTATTTCAGGCAAAGTTACACTAACGTTCTCTTCTAATTTTCTAATGTTCTTATTGATTTTAGAGAGAGGAAAGAAGAGGGAGAGAGAGAAAGAAACATCCACGAGAGGGAAACATGGATGGGCTGCTTCCTGTAAGCCCCATACTGGGGATCCCACGATCCCTGCACATGACCTGATGGGAATCGAACCCCGGGACTTCCTGGTGTATGAGATGATCCTCAACCAACTGAGCCACACAGGCCAGGCGAATGTTCTTTTATTTAAAAATATGTTCTTATTGATTTTTTTTTTTTTTTTTAGGGAAAGGGAAAGAAGGGGTGGGGGAAGAGAGAGAAACATCAATTGATCGCCTCTGGTAAGTAGGCACCCTGACCAGCAACGAACCAGTAACCTGGGCAAGTGCCACCGAGAACGGAGAATTCAACCAGTAACTTTTGGTGCAGGGGAGGACGCCCAACCAGGGGTGCACTAATGTTCTTCATATATGCCTGCATTTTCTGTATACAAGCATATACTTTCCGTACTCAGTTAAATTAAAACAAAAACACTATGTAGTTGCTTCTAAATTATTTCAATAGCTATTTATTCCAACATACAGAGAGTAGATTTCCACTGAAATTCCTCGGAGGGAGGAAAATGATCATCAGTTTCTCTCAGCGGCCTGTGAGTTCAGGGTTAAGGGCTCCCAGCCAATCTCACATTTCTTTAAAATCTTACATTTTACATCAAACGTTCGTAAGTTTTGTTATCTGATAAAGAATACACACACACACGTGTGTGTGTGTATATATAGATAGAGCGAGCGAGCGAGAGAGAGCGCGCGCGCTTGGTCTATATTAACATAAATAGGTTCTCCCTCCAGATACTCATGCTATTCTAGAGATCCGCACGCCTGCTGCTTCCTCATTCCTCCCTTGGCTTCCTGAGCACCCAGGGCACGGCGGGGAAGCCAAGAGGAGACTTCGACACCACACTCCATCTGATAACTCCGGAGGATGTCACCCCTTTACCGGGAATCGAAACGCTACCTGGTTCCGACCCTCTTGCAAACCTAGTCCCCCAAAGCCGTTCGCCACCCCTGCTCCTGCGGCAGAGCCCTTCACCCACCTGGATCGGGCTCCGACCGTAACGGTTGGGAGCATTGGGCGGTGCCCCCGCCTGCAGCAGCGCCAGCACCTCGTCGCTGCGGCCGCGGGCGGCGGCCCTGGCCAGCCGGTCGGCAGAAGACTCCATGCGGCTCTCCCGCGCTCGCCCCCTCGCTCTCTCCTTCCCAGTTTTTGCCGCCAAGCCCCAGCGACCCGCCCCAGCCTCTCGTGACCAGCCTGCTCCTCCTTCTCTTTCCCCCCCCGCCAGCGGAAGCGGCCCCCAGACTTGTCCGGTCCAGATTTTCCTCTCCGGGGTAACGCGTCCACGTGTTCCCAGAGAAGGCGTCTTTCACTCCAAACACTCTGTGACTATGATACCCCTGAAGTCGCCCCACGGGGTGGGCTCTGCTGTTGCCGCTGGGCAGCTCACTTGGGGGCGCCGGCCGGGAGCAGTTGGCGCCCGGAGCCTGACGAAGCCTAGGCGGAGGGAGCCCAGGGGCTGCTGCCACCTGCCCCCACCCCGAGGCGCCCCCGCCCAGCGCTCCCGGAACCGTAACGGAGGCGCAGGCGGCTCTTGTAGCGAGTTCATCTTTTCAAGCGAAGTCTCTCCCCCTTTTCCTTCTGATGTACGGCACCGCTGGCATTAGGGTTCTCACAGGACTCCCAACTGCCAGGTTCGAACCAGGGTGTTTGCTACCATGGGCAAGTACAGCTTTCTCTTTTCATTAGAAGAAAAGGGTCCTGCCTCTTCGCCAGAGCCGGGCCAGAGATCTGTACCACTCCTACAACTATGAGGTTATCTTTACTTCTGGACACACGCCCCTCGTCCACTCAACATTTGGGCTTCCCGCACTCACACGTTCATTTTGGAGTCGCCTGCCCGCATGCCAGCCTGTCCCCGTTCACACACGTGTAAAACAGATGCATGTGTGTGTATGAGTGTGTGTGTGTGGGGGAGGGGGGGTGTTTCCTACACTTGGCCTTGCCCTAGAAGATGTGGTCTGTTTAACGGTAGGGTGGAGATTTCTGCCTGGAGGGCAGATAGGGAAGTGGCGAGGGTGTCATTGGGCTGATTGACTCCATTTTAAAGAAATTCCTCCAGGACCAGAAAATGTCTTCAGGGCTCTACTGGCAGAGTGTCCTGGTGATTCAGAGAGCAGGCTCACACATTGTCCTTGTTCCGCTCCTCTCCGTCCCCTGCACCTCTCTTTCCTATTAGAAAAACCTTACAGTTTTCTTAGCTATAAAATGGAGGGCCAAGAGTGTTCCCTACTTTATAGGGAGTTTTAAATGAATTAATGTACATATATACACTTAGAACAGAGCCCCACTTCCGAAACGAATACCTCTTAGTTCTGAACATCCTTTGTGAGGACTCTCTTGCAATCTTGTGATGCACAGAGAAGAAAATGTTTTGAACCGAATTATCAATATTATATGAAAGGGAAAGCCAAAAAGACCTTAATCACTGAAAAGATGGACACTCTCCATCTCCACCCTCATGTTTAATGAAAAATGAAACAGAAGTAAGAGTATAACAAGCAAATGAAAATCCAATGAAGTCTAATTTTTCCTGTGGTTATAACTTTTACACTTTAAAAAATATGTATTTTTTAAAAACTGGATTGCTCTGGCTTTGCTGATGCCTTAAGCAGTGCCTAATCTACAATCTCTTGCTAACTTCTCTTGAAGACTCAGACTATCTGACTATACTTTCAATTGCTGTTAGCTCAGGCAAAACATAAAGTTTTAAAATTATGCCAACTGGCGGTGGTGGCTGGGGAAAGTTGGTGATGATGAATGATGTCTTGGATAATTTTCTTCATGGATGCAGGAAGCCTTTGAAAGGTGAGGATGTGACACAAAATATGACTTAGAGAAAGCAGTTCTACAAATGACTCAGAAAAAAATGATTCAAGTAAGCAGCTTTCTGCAGATGCATTGTGATCTGAGAAGAAAACTTACTGGCCAAAGCCTCGTCCACAGGTTGTGCAGAATCTCCAGGGAGTGCTTGATAAATCCACACATTCTCCAAGTCTACAGAATAAGGATCCCTGGCTGATGTGCCTGGAAATTTGCAGCTTTTGTAAGTTTTCCAGGGGATTCTTAAATACATCAGAGCCCTAGAGCAGTGGTCTTTAGACATTTTTTTGGGGGGGGGGTCAGATTCTTAATCTTGGGGCATCTGTTGAAAACTGTAGGCCCTCTCCTCAAAAAATAAAGTATGCAATAATTTAAAGATTATTTTTAATTGAACTTATTGGGATGATATTGGTTAATAAAACTATATGGATTTCGGGAGTAAAATTCTAGAACACATTATCTAAGTATGCAATAATTTTGTAAAGTGTGTCTGTGTACACATGTATTTCTGAATATAACTTTCAGGAATTCAGACTTCTGGAAGGGGCCTCAAAGGACTGCTCAGATTGTCAGAAGGAAAATCAAGAGTGAATGAAGTGGCAAGGACACTGTGTGTAGACAACTCTTTCAGAGTTTAACTGTGATAATTCAAGGTGATATATGGTGACAGGGAGGCACAGGGAAGGTGGAAAAGACTTGAGCACACATAATACCCTGAAGGAAAAATGCAGGTGAAGAAAATAACAGCTAGAAGAGGAAAAAGGAAATTCAGGTCATGGGCAAGTAGGGTACTTCTGAGGACCTTAGGTTCCTAAAGTCAGGAAGAAATGGACTGCAGGGCACAGGGAATGGACTCAGGAGACACAGCCAGATTTTGAGAAGGGAGAAAAAGTCAGGGCAGGGAGGAAGTTGAAGCACTTCCTTCCACGGATGAAGAGGCTGGCTGGCTTGCTTACAGTGAAGATAAAATGGTTGGGTTAGGAAGTGAGTGGTGCACGTTCAGAATATCTGTTGTAATGAAAGAGGGACGGTGAGCAGGACTTGGACAGATTAGCCTTTCCATCTGTCTGCAGAACCCAGCTGAGCGTGGAAGTCATGACACTATTGGAGCCCCTACATGTTTTAACTAAACTAAATAAAACCTTGCAATAGAACTGCTCCAGAAAGCCTAAAAATCAAAGAATAGTAATTCCAGATGTGAATATCAATTCAAACATCACCAGAAAGGTATCTAAGTAGGTAGCTTCTGGTTCTGACAAGGCATGGTAGAATTGGCAAAGAATGATCTGCATGATATGCAAACACATTATATGATAAGCAACATAATTTTATTGGGAAAGTAGCTCTGTATTGGGACCAACAGACAGTCTTGATGTATCTAATTAACTGCTTTTTTTTTGGTATGTGCCCCTAGCGGGAACCCGGAACTCTCTGGTCTGCAGGCCCTATGCTCCAACCGCTCAGCCAAACCGGCCAGGGCTCTAATTAACTGCTTTGGACAGTGAAGTTTTTAAGACTATTTTTAGCTTCAATGTCCCTATCTTTAAAATAAGTACTCTTTTTCTATTCTTTATACCTCAAGAAGTTACTACAACAAGCGAGACACACACAAAAGCTGTTTTAAAAGCATACATCTTTTTATCCTATTCAATATTAGTATTGTTGTTAAACAATATATAGTTAAACAAAATATAGTTGGAATAAAATATACATAGAATATCTCTGGAAAGATACTAAAAAGTTTATATATCTAGGGGGAGGAAATGAAGAATTGGGATGGGCCTGAGACTTTCTTTTCACATCTGCAACTTGTATTGTTTAAATTTTGTATTATGTGCATTTATTAGCCATTTAACTAAATAAACATAATAAATGTATTAGACAAATAAGAGTTGCTTTTCTGAGGATCATCATTTATAACTTTCTCTGACAAACAGTAACTGAGCACATGAAGTCTGGAATTTATAATCTTAACTTTAAGAGAAAATATATAAAACTATACCCTCAACCCAAAGACTCAAAGGAAAGCATGAGAGGACATTTTAAGTCTATAGGTGAAAGATGCTAAAACATGATTAGGAAGCATTGTTTTATTTATTCAGGGTTGATATACATCATCAAGTTGATTTCTTCCACAGGAGTTTAATCATATATTAGGTAAAGAATTTGACTTGAGGAAGAGTATTTCAACTCCCCAAATTTTATGGTCTTTTATAATATCAGAGGAGAGGTGGGCTTTAGAACTCTTAGAAGTCCAGGAAAGGCAAAAAGAAAAGAAAAAAAAGAAAAGAAAAGAAAAAGAAAGAAATAATATAAGAGTAAGGCTATAGAGCCCCAAGAAAGAAGACTACTTTAAAGGACAGTTGTGTGTGTGTGTGTGTGTGTGTGTGTGTGTGTGTGTGTGTGTGTGTGGGGGGGGGTGACAAGGTTTCCAGTAGAAGAGCAAAGCTTCAATATAGACTCTGATATGTGAGTGCTCTAAATCATTGTTAAACCAAATTGATCATGAACACTGAACTTCTACCCGCAAGAGTAAAAACTGAATATAGTATTATTTGTTTGTTTCAACAGTATCTTTGTATTCTAATAGCACACACACATGTATCAGCAGCATAAGCAAAATGGAATATTATGTGTGTTCATGATTAACAATTAAAAAGGAGGATGGGGATAGAGGTTTAGAGTTGGTAAACTTTACAATACCTCAGTTTGCCTATGGTTTCCCCCATGTACCTCCTCTTGAATCACACACCAAGGAGTGACGGTGACTGGTAGTGGATGCAGAGGAAAGAATGAACAGTGACACAGTCCGTTCATTTTATTGTCCCCACTTTGAGAGATAAGGAAATGGAGGCTCAGAAAGTTTTCATAATTATTTCAAGCCTACAGAGCTGGTAAATGAGGATCAGGTTTGAGTATAAAGACTGGGATTGTCCCATTGCCCATGCTGCATTGTGTCACCTCCAAGATTATTACTAAGGATATGGTTGACATATCTCACCAACCACATCTGTTCAAGTCAGAGTAAACTGCTGTGACCATAGAAAAAATATGGAGAGAGGACTGAGTTCAACATCTGCAGCAAACATTTATTTACTGGGTAATCATGGCAGTGTACCACTCCTCCATTTTCTTATCTATAAATCAAGGGGGTAGCTTCTTGCAATTTGTGTTAAGAGCCTTATAATCTTTGGAAAACTGCAATACTGTTTATTGTAGCAATTAGAAACACCTTACATGTCTGATAACAGGGACATCATTAAGTAAACTATAACATTTTTAGTG